CATCCCAGCATCCCAGCACCCCTACAACCCAACATCCCAGCATCCCAATATCCCACCACTGCAGCATTTCAGCATCCCATTGCAGCCCTTGGGCTCTGCTCACTGCCCAGCACTGCACTCAGGAACGTAGGCATGGCCATTACATGTGGCTGGCTCCATTCTTTTCTGGTTTTGTGCATTTTAGGAGTTATCCTGCATCAGCTTCTTGATCAATAGTAATGAAGAAAAAGAAAGGAAAAAGGCACAAATAAAAAAAAAAAAAAGCAAAGCAAAACATAACCACAATGTTTTCCATGACCCTTCTCTGGCCTCTGCTTACACAAAAAAAATCCTGGCATCCATAATGATCAGGCCTTTGATTGAACGACATTTTAATTCGGAATATATTAAAACAGCATGTTTTCAAATGAACGGTCCCAGAGCAGAAGGGGAAGAGCAAGCTCCCCAGAACCTCTCCAGCTTCAGAGTCGCAAGCTGTGCCCCAGATGCCATCACAGCAGCTTTGATAGGCAGGCCCCTTGATTTAAAATGGGGGGGGGGGGGGGTTGGCTAATTGAAACCACTGTGTTATGATAACCAAATGTCTTCTGCCTTTTGCATCTCCCATAGATGGCAATGCATATTGAAAAAGAAATAATAATGCCGCGTCCGTTTTCAGGGAGAGATCAAAGGCTCTCCTGGAAAGAGGAGCCCAGTTGTCCCCCCATCTGCATCTGGGCTGCAGACAGCCAGTGGCAAAGGCGACTTCATTCATCCGTGGGGCAGAGGAATGCTGTCTGGGTGCTTTGAAAAGTGCAAGGGCTGGTGGAGGGAGGAAAAAGCTCTGTATATGGGGGCAGCGTGGATTTATGGCCTTCATGCTGCAGTGGGGTCCTGCGGGTGCACTGTGCATTTCGGCACAGCTGGTGCTGCATTATCCAGGAGGCTGAGAGTGGGCTGCAATGGGAGCAGCAATCACCCAAAACAGAGTCAGTGGCATGGAATGACCAAACCCGGGGTGAACACCATCCTTAGTTGCTGAAAGGTAGCCCCCAGCTTCCAATAGGCTCCATGAAAGCATCCTCACGGAGGTTCATTCTCTCACCCTGACCACAGCCTCTGGGCAGTTCTGCCCTATCTGGCTCCAGTTTGAATTTGGACCAGAGGAGGTGAATGGAGTGAAGCTGCCTCTGCAGCTGGGGGCATCCCGCCTTGGTGCATCAAGATCACTGCAGCAAAACGAGCACCTCACGGGCTGCCCTGATATGTTGCTCTGCAAACATCTGCAGCTGCCAGCAGGGCTCAGGGTGCCTCCCAGGATGCTGCTCCTGGAGGTGCTGTGGAGGAAAAAGGGGCAGGTTTGGCTGATTTTAGAAGGCATCTAAATGCACCAGGTGGTACAGGCATGTTTTATTCACTCTCCAGAGAGGATGCCTTGTGAACGTGGTTTCATTGCTTTCCTCTGCATACCCAGCAAATCTCTGAGTGCAAGAACTCTGCTGTGTTTGCACGTGCAGTGCGATGTTGGGAAACACCTGCCCATCACTCAGCAGACACTCAGCCCACTTGCACATACATTTTAAACCATAATTAAAATGACATGCCATCTTCTCCTTGTACTGCACAAGCAGAAGTATGGGGTATGGCCTCCAGAAATCCAGAATAACTCAAAGCAGAGCTGGTTTGTATGCTACATCAGGCTGTGTGCTGAATGCAGAACATAACAAAAAATAATAACAAACAACCCCAAACCTTTATTAAATGCATGGCACGGAGTGGGAACTTTTGATCAATGTTGATGAGATATTGGAAAATTCAGCCCTCGTGTTTCATCAGCTGCAGCAAAATACTTCAGTGCAGATGGACAGAGCCCAGATGGCAACCTTGGCTGTGGAGCATTTCTGCCCCAACCATATGCTGCTCAGAAGGGGAAGGGATGCAGGGTTTGATTTGAAGCTTTGGGACTTGCAGGTGCCACATGGAGCACTGTGGTGACGCGTTGGGGACGTGGCACTGCTGTCCTACAGTGGGAAAAGGGCACGGCTGGGAGCCAGGGATGCACACACCGGGGCTTTGTGGGGCCACTGATGGAGGCAGGCAGTGATGTAATTGGGCCAGTACACTTCGTTAAGGGGAGGACTTTTTGGTACTGTGGGTTGAGCACTTTCTGCAGGAACAAGAGGGTTTTCTTTTTGAGAGCATGAGAGCTGAGCAAACACCTCCAGCGGAAGCCTGTGTAAGTTTGAATCGTGTCTCATCCCTGAGATGCTGCTGTTTGCATGCATAAATTGGCCTTCTTTCTTCCTTCCACAGCCTCACGAGACATTCTGTGGAAGGTGCCAAGCATTGGATGAGTAACATTTCCCCACTGTGCATCAGTTTAATCAACACCTGCTTGGCCAAGCAGCAGTGAGTGCGAGAGGAGGACGAGTTGGGCTCCCAGACACAGAGAACTGCTGAGACTCAGATTGCACACAGCAGCACAACAGTGACAAAGCCGCCTTGGTTCTGCACCCAGGGGCACTGTCACAATCCCAGCTCAGAGATCGGATGGGAGGTAATAAGATGCAGGTGGAGGCTTGATAAGAGGGCACAGCATAAGAAGGGGAACAAGCAGCTTTAGGTCAGCTGTGTTAGGGTTTATTCCTTGCCTCTATTTGACTTTGCTCCTGAGTATGGTGTGCAACTTGTTGCTGGTTCCATGAGAGCTTCTCCATGATGCTCACACAGGGGCACAAAGTGTGGGGGGTGGCCTCTGTCCTCCTGGCACTGTGGTTCCCTGACTGCAGTTCCCTTCCTCAAGCAGGATCAGAGCAGGGCTTCGGAGAGTCCTACGCAGAGAGCATCATCCAAGGACATGTTTTCAAAGGTAACAGATGTTCAGAAATATCTCCTTTCTAACCCTATGATTTAACTGCTGCTCCAGGTGAGTTTTCTATGCTTATTTCCTCGGGAAACAGCAGCCCAGTGTCAGCCTGCGTGAAGATGCAGCTCACTGACCTCCCTTCACACTATGTGGCTTCTCCCCTTCCCACACCTCTGGCATCCCTGGGCAATGAGCACGCAGCTAGATCTATCCCACCCACCTGCTCCCTCCATCTCCCATTTCTGCAAGGCTCTGGTGGAGGCATACCCCCTGCATGCACAGCTCTGGGTATCTTTTCTGTAGCATTTGTTTTTCCTAGATGTACACACATTTGTCCACAGCCATTTCTGCTCCCAGTGATGTTAATTTGGCATCCTCAGTGGAAAGTTTTAGACATCTGATCAGGATCTGTACGAGCTTCTGGGAGCTGCTTGCCAGCTGAAGGAAAACGAAAAGGCCAAAATTAAAAAGGAGCCTTTCCTTCATAAACATAAGTACTGCAAAGATAAACACTCCAGCTATTAACTGTATGTAGAAAGTTTTGGTGAATCAATAAAGCATGGAGGTGAAAGAGTCAAGCAGAAGCAATGAAATACAAACTCTGTGATTTTCTTTTTTTCTCCTCCTTCTTCGAGTGCCCTTAGAGCCAGGCTTCAAAAAGCTGCCTCTCAATCTGCATGTCTGCTTTTCTATGTGCAGCATAGTCTGTTTGCTTCAGGCCTGATCCAGAGTCCTTCAAGCTCCCTGTGCCTGCTTGGGGCTGTGCTTGCACCCGTTGCATGTGGGCACACCGGGCTGCAGCAGAGAGAAAAGCCCTGCATCAGTCATCATGCAAAACTAAAGCTGGCACCCAGCCTGTCCCCACAGTGATGCCATTGCAGGGGAATTTATTTGCTTTCTCTGCAGCTTGGGGCTTTGGTCCCATTGCCATTCTGATGGGGCAGCCCCTCTGGAAGAATGAGGGGTGTGAGTTTGGTGTACAAACTGCAGGCTGGTAAGAGGACATTTCTTCTGTTCTGTGAGGTGGGAAGGAATCTGTAGAACAGCATCTTTTTAAAGGGTTTCTGAGTTTGTCCTTGGGCAGAAGCAGGACAAAAGGCCAACAGCTGCCCCAGCATCTCACTGTGCTGCTGGTGGGTGTGGGAGCGGATGGGAGGAGCAGCCTCAGCTTTGAGTCACCACTGACCCTTGAAGAGTTCTGCCTGTGGTGAGCCTTTGGCTAGACATGAAAAAGTCATTGCAAAATTATAGCCTTCCTCCCATCCAAGTGACGGAGCTGATGCTGCTACTGCTTCTTCCTGAAGGTACCATAGGATGAGAGCTGGGAAAAGCAGAAGGGACAAAATCCACCCTTGGTTCTCCAGCAGTTTCCAGTACGTGGGCACCTGCACGATTGGGTGAACCTAAGGGAAGTCCAGATTTCTTCTCTCTGCTGGAAAACATGCTGTAGATTTGCTCTTAGCCCCCTATAAAGAAGGAGATGCTGTTGTGGCACAGACTGGCTCTGGCTTTGCCCACCACTTAGCTGTGCATGCACATTGCTCTCATTCCTGCCTCCTCTCCCAGGAAGCACATAGGAAGTCAGAGGGCATTGCAACCAGCTTCAGGGCTGTGCCTGTTATTCACGGTGCTGGGATTTAAAGCTCTGCCCACACAAGACAGCTGGGCCAGCAGAGGAGCACAGGAGCCAGGCAATGGCAGCTCTTTGGGTGGTCTCCATCATTGCAGGACAAATTGTTTGTTCTGCATTTCCCTGTGGGAAGAAATGGGAAGGTCTGACTCAGATAAAGTTCAGCTGAGCACAAGCTGCATTTCAATGATACAGAATTTCTCTTAGAGACCTGAGATGGCTGTGTTTCCTCCAGCACGTGGGGACTTGCCTATTGCTTCTCCTGCTCTTCTTCTCACTTCGATGTTTCCCTTTCTTTCCTCTCCACCCCTTCTTGTCCCATTCCCTTGGATCCAGCTTCCCACTTCCCTCCACTGCCAGCGTGGGATGTGAGCACGGAGGGCTGGTGGGGCTCTCTCACCACTTCATCTCTTCGTTGCACTGAGGATGGAGCACATGTTTGTCGTGAATGAGAAAGCATGTGAGTGAGAAAGCAACTTGAAGCCATGTAACAGTGAAACAGTGATAAATCTAATCGAGCAACCTGGAAGAAGTAATTTTAACCAGGAATGGTCAAAAATTTCTTTTTTTTTTCTTACGGTTTTGTTCTTTGCCAATTCCCAGGCTCTCCATCTCCCAGAGTTTGAAACATCTCAAGAAAGGGCCCAGGAAGAAGGGAAATCCTCCCAGAAGGGTTGTTTGCAGTAGCACTTTTCCATAACACTGCATTGTTACAGCATCACAAGGATTTGTCTCCTCTTCTGGCTCCAGCATGCATGTTCCTGGCTCCCATGGAGGCACTGTGGACAGCCCATGCCATACAACATGCCAGAAACATGACCTCCCCATGAACTTCAGGCCATATTTTCAAGTCTGCGCCCAGCTCCTTGCAGGCAGGGCTGTCTGGCCAATGCATCCTGGCCCTTTTGCATGGAAAATGAGCTGTGTCAGCCTTCATGGCCCGCTGGCTTGCCAGCTGTGTCCCTAACAGCACTTTGCAACCTCCTCCCTCCCTGCTCAACATGTTGCCTTCACCCAGCACGTGGGACAGCAACGAGGGAACTGTGAGCTCTTCCTCTGTGGCTGGGGCCCAGCTGGCCACCCCCATCTCCCCACTGCAGCCACCATACACTCCTCAATGCAGCAGAACTCAATGTACAGCTTTTTTTTTTTTTCCCTCCTTGGTTTTCCTGTTTCCAGAACAGTAGAATATTTTATTTGCATCGTGCCCCAGTTCCCCAGTTTCCAGCACGCAGAACAGGGCGATCTGTACCCGTCTCTTGCAGCAGCTGATGCTTGCTCCCCTGGCAAAGCTCCAGTTAATGCTTTCTCCCCCAGCCTACAGCACTTATAATGATATTAATAACCAGACACTGAGGTTCAGCATTAAGGATTTCTTTAAGCTTGCTTCTCGGGGCTCTGATTGGGTTTTGTAGCCATCTCTGCTTCATCCTATGGTCCATCAGGGTTGATGGGGGCACCTGGACCTCTTTCGGGAAGTTTCTCCACAGCTCCTTCCTTCCATAGCACCCACAGGGACAGGGACAGGCTTGGTGCTCCCAGACCTCTTTTCTGTTTTTTTCCCTTAATGCATTGAAGGGTGATCTCTTGTAAAGTGGTTCTCTATTAACCCTATTCATGAGTCTTTTAATTAGCGTTGTCTTCTGCTAAGTAATTGCTCCAGCATAAGCTCCTCTGGGGCAATGCAGAGCTGCAACAGAGCACTGCAGGAGATACAGGCTGCTGTTCTGCCTTCTGGACCTGCTGTTGCTGGCCACTATGCCCTTCCTTCGCACAGTGCCGGAGCAGCCCACTAAAATTTGCAAAGAAAAGCAGAAAGAACCATCTGAAACCCCACCAGAAGCTGCAACAGGTAGAGTTCTACCCTTATATATGGGAAACCCCCAGCTCAGCTGAATCCTACTGATGCACATCTAATGGTGGCTTTGTAGAGGCCCTATTCAAAGCACTCAGCTTTGAGAGCACGTTTCCCCCAGCACTGAGGAGCAATGTTTCCTTTGTCAATTCAGGGTCCCCAAGCAATCTGCATCACCCCATGCCTGGAAGCAGTGCTCATTCCCTCAGCTGTCGGCCCTTCTTTCTGCCTTGGTTGCCCACATCCTCCATTGAAGCTCACAAAGTGGTACTTTGTACCAGAGCAAGAAACAAGAGACGTGCGTTGCAACACAGGAGGGAGAAAGGAAAAAAATAAAAAGCCTCATCTCACCTCTTGTGTTTTTTCTGGAAGTGTCACTGCCCTTAATGCATCAAATAATTAGAATCACTTCTCCTCTTTTGTTTACCTTGGCCCTTGCTGCTTGCTTTGAGCAGGCCAACATAAATCCGTGTGCACCGCAGGAATTTTGGGCACAGCCCGTTCTGCAGCGCTGGGTGCAGGGGGAGAGGTGGCTGCAAGAGCTCTGGTTCTGCCCCATATGTCCCTGCTGCTGTGGGCACTGCTGGACATGGAGCTCCTATAGAGGGGACTTCACTGCAACACTTGAGCTCAACCAGGTGCTGACCCTTATGGAAATCACTGTCCTGGAGAGAAGCATCAGCAGCTGATGCCCATTTAATGCCAAAATTCCAGATTTGTGTTCCAAAGGTGACATGGGAGAACAGGTCCCTTGTGAATGCTGGAAAGCTGTGCTGGGTGAGGTGGCATTGCGCCATTAATCTGCATGGAGAGGAGACCAGCACCCCTTACAGCCACAGATGGACAGATGGACACAGTGCCAGCATCGCAGCCCAGCTGGTTGCCTGACCCCAGCACCGCTCCCATGGGCTGCACGTATGTCAATGGGTTATTAAAGAAACGGATGAGGGATTAGCTGTGCTGTAGGTAGAGACTCCATTCAGATTTGCTAAGTTTCAGCAAGTATGTTTTCAATAATTGGCTGGTATTTGTAAGAAATGAATAAAACCTAGGCTACTAAATCTGGTCCTTCTCTTATTATAAGGCATTTATTGCATGCTTAGAAGCATATGTCTTTAATATCTGAAGCAAAGGAAAGTAATATATAAGGATCCCTTCTGAAACACAAATATATGCAGCCATAATCACAATTATTAGCCATCGTGAAATAGCTAACAAGCTAAAGAAGCCCCATCAGCAGCAGCTTTACAACTGGGGGTGCATAAGAAGACAAAGGAGCAAATTTCCCTCTTAGCTGTGTGAGAGTCCTCAAGGCAGAGGAAGGATCAGCTTTGCTGAGGAGTGTTTGCATCTCGGAGAGGGTTCACAGATGAAGCCAATAGAGAAGGTGTGCAGGAGTGAGGCAGGCAGCTTGGAACCAGCACTGCTGCTGGTGGTTGTGTCTTCTGAAGAAAGAACACCGGAAAACTAAAACTACCTGTCACTGCTGCTGTCATCACAGAGGTATTTGGGAGAGGGTGAGCAAATGTTTCTGCAGAACTGTGTGCTGATTTATTTGTAGGGAGGGAGCTGCAGCAGGGAAATCATTGTCCGGATTCTTGGTGAGAAGAGGCACGTGGTTCTGCAAAGATTTTTGTCTGAAAACGCAATCAGCTGAAGTCAGCGCGGCGCTGAGGATCTGAGCGGAGCTCAGTGCTGCTCAACTTTCATGTAAGAGGGAAGAAACGGGCCCTGGCTCTGTGTATCCCCGTTGGTCTTCACTTTGCGTTGCATCTTCCTCCTCACTGCACCGCCCTGAAGCGCGTACAGAAAATAAACGTCAAAAAAGAAATGCATCCACGACTCACAGTGAGTGCAATTAAACCACGGAACAGATTCCCCAGGGATATCACGCATCCTTGGCTGCTTGGAGGAGCCTCAGAGCGGGCTGCAGCAGCTCCTTCCCTTTGCTGGAGCAGCGCTGTGCCGCCTGGGATTTGCTCCGAACGGTCAGCTCAGCTCAGCTCTGCTCTGCTCCAGCTGCTCGATGGGTTTCTCTCCAGCACATTGCTGGTTTGCACATCGTTTCAAGCCTGCAGCTGTTACTGGGCTGTTGGTATGAGCATTATTCACTTCCAATCCCTACCTCACTGCAGGGGGAGACCATCCCTGGAGATCCTCCCCTCTCCTGTCTTCGTGGCACTGACCCTCAGCCGTTCTGAGTGCGATGCAGACACCACACAGCCCCATAGGTTTCAATGCCTCTGCCACCAACTGCGACTCTGTCCACAGCGATTTGGCTTTGTTTTGTTTCTAAGTTGCTGCTTGAGCTTTCTTGGCTCATAGGCAGATTTTCCCTTCCAAGGTTTCAGTGGTGGAGGACCGTTTCCCTAATCCCCAATAGTTTGAGATTATTTCCAGCCAACAATTAATCAAAATCAGAATTTTGCACTGCTTGCTTGTGCTGCCGCATTGAGTGCATGTAAAACCCTCTGTTTTCTCTAAAGAAAAGCATTTTCTACTTTCCTACGTTGCCTCTGGTCCTTTTAGCTGTCAGGGCACTCGGCATTGTACCAGGATGCTGAATGGGCCAAGGGATGCCTTAAGCACACCACTAAAACAGGCAAAAGCAGATTCAGGAAGGCTCAACGCAAGCCGAAAGCTCGCTGTTTAGGAAGCATCTCTGCTGGGGTGAGGATTGACTCTTATGGGTTTGTGTTGTGGACTCGGCACTTGGGCAGCTTTGTTTTGGTGCATGGAATGCTCAGAGGTGTTCTCTAAACACTGTGTTTGGGTAATAGTCAAAAATTAACCATAAGAGCTAATGGAAGCATGCATCCTTCCTCCTGTGCTGGGACCACGTAGCACTGAGTGCATTGGAAGCAGCACCAGCAGTGATCTCTGACTGCTGCAGATCCCAAACCCTCAGTCAGGAGCTGCTCTGTGGGTGAGCACAGCTGGATCTGCTCCGTTAGGATCCAGTGCAGATGTGTGACTGCGGAGTTTTTCCCAACCGCTCAGTCTTCTGATGGGGCTTCCATCATCTGGAGCTGCCTCTCTCTTCTAGCACCTCTTCAGGCTGAAAAGAAATAACATTTCCTGAAGCAACACCAAATAGGGAAGTGGTGCTGCTTCATCATATCCAATTTCAAGTAGCTCTTCTCCTTAAGCTGCTCACAAGCAAGCGAGGAGAATGTAACACGCAACTTCTTTCAGAAACAATTCTCTCCTGCTGAGCCCTGATCTCGTGCTGTCTGTGGTTCTGTGCTCCATAGATGGCACACGGTGCCAGCTCCACCTAGCAGCCACAAGCTGACAGGATTTGTATTTGCTCCATCACCCCTTGAGCTGTCACAGGGGTGGATCCCACTCCCTCCTGGCACTTGCTGTCTGCTGAGGATTCCCATGTTATCACTGCTGTCAACTTCCAAGCTGCGTGTTATATGGGAAGGAAAGCTGCCAGGCTGCTCTGCATGCCAGTAGGTATTCTTGGAGACCAAACACTCAGCCTGGACCCAGCACTGGTGGTTAAGCTTTATTTGGTTCTCATTTCCTCAAGAACTGGATGCTTCTCTCCGTCTGTCAGCTCACAAAGCTGGGTCAGGCTGGCTGCATCCTCTGCTTCAAAGCAAGGACCCCAGAAGGGGTCAGCTCCCCTTGACACCAATGGGTTCTGGAGTGGACCCTGGGGCAGAGGTTTTCAAGAACATGCTGCAGTTTGAGAAGTGGAGAAGCTGTGGTTTAACGTGGGAATAGTTGGAGAAAGAAAAATGTTATTACCAAAAATCAGCTTAAACTGAAAGTACCGCAAGGTCAAACAATGCAGCCGGTCACAAACACGGTGTTCCTGGGGATTATTAAACTAGAGTTACAGGAGATAAGATGCTTTTTGTGGTAAATGGAAAACACAGCTCCGGAGAGAGAAGGAAGCTGCAGGTTTTGCTGCTGACTCCCTGGTGCCAAGCAGTGATGCATGAGTGGGAACATCACACCCGTGGGTCAGCAGCTGGAGATCTCCAAGGCTGGGACCCCCCAGCCCCTCTTAAACCTCCCTTGAAGGATCCCACGCTGCTCTGTACCACTATGTGTACAAATATAAGTACATCCATATACTTGGCTGAGATGTATAAACTCTGCAATGGACTTTGGATGTAAGTGCAGTCTTCGCTGCTGGCTCACCGGAGAGGGTTCTCAGTTAATCACGGGTGGATTGTTGGACTAGGTGTTCTCATCCAACCTTAATGAATCCGTGATCCTATGAAAATAAAATGTACCCAGTTCCCCCCTGCTGCTGTCTCCTCCAAAGCTGCCAGCCTGCTCCATCATGGGCAATGCCAGGATGAGTCCCTGGGATCCTACCAACACTTGTATTCAGTGTCAAGGAGCACAATATGGAAACTGTGCCAAAAGAGGCCCAATCTTTCACAAATGCCATCTCATCATTTTCAGCTGCTTTGAACTTCCCAGTGACTTTTATTTGTGCCTCCCTTTTCTTTCTATGCCAGAACTAACTCACATCTTGAAAAGCTCTTCTCCCCATGTAGCCGTTATCCTGCAGCCCTTCCCAAATCCCCCCCAGCTGTGCCTCCTCTGCTCTGCTTTGCTGAGATAAGCAAGGGAGGTTCTTTGTCTGCAGGTGAGTTGTCTGCTGGTCTTCTTTTTTAGGGGAAATTGGAGGGCTCCTTGTGGACCCACAGAGCCACGAATGGATGGACAGAGAGCAGCTAGATCAAAATCTGATATGAATTAGAGGAGTGATGGACTTGATAAGGAAATGAGCTTGATGATCCTTGTGGGTCCTTCCAACTTGGGATATTGTATGATTTTATGAAAAGAACCATTTACCCACATTACAGCCAAACAGCCCAGGCATGGAGCAGAAATCAGCTTGATAAAGGTCATGCAAAGAGCATCAGAACAAGTTTCAGATGTAGTCCTTTAACCAGATGTCTTGTGAGCAGCGCTGCAGCACGAGCCGTCATTGCCCCTGAGCCATGTTCTGTTCCCAAATAAAGTGTGGGCTGGGTGGACAACTCTAGTGGATGACCTGGGGCTCCCCAGGTGGGAAGGCTGAGCTCCAGAAACATGGATCCAATATGGAGCTCCTTTGGATGTGAGGACAGTGAAAAAGGCAGAGCAGAGCCTGAGGTGCCAGGGTGGCTCTGAACCCTTCTCCGAGGACATGCTCCACCTTCACATCTCACCTACGTCAGAATGACCTCATGTTCATAACAGCAGGAATTTCCAGCCGGCGCAGCCAAACCCTTTGCTGCTAAATTAAAATTTCTACCTCTCTCCGGAGAATTATTTCCCCTCCATTCTTTTTATTAATAAATTAATAATAAAGCAGTTTGCTGGAGCGACGAGGTGGATTCGGCTCCAAGCGTGGCAGAGCGAAACAAGTACAAACATCAGCTTGTTTATACGCACGTCTGCCTGCAGAGCTGGGTACCCATAAGCAGAGCTCTGCTGAGCACTTGCCAGAGCAGCTGGAAGGGGCGATGGATGCTTTTGCACACACAGAGCCTCCTCCTCTCTGCTCATACCATGGCACAGCTCATTCAGCGCCAGGCTCCATGGATGCAGGGCTCTGTTGCCTTGCATGGGTGGTGCAGACCCAAAGAGTGTTTCAAGCCTGATATATGGAAGGCAGTGAGGCCCCTGGGCTCCCCACCACTCACTGGAGAGGTTCCCTTTGTCCTCTTGCAGAGGGTCACACGCTGTATCTCCTAAGGTAAATCCAGTCCATGACAGGCAAAGCTGATATGGGACAAAGCAAGGCTCGGTGCTGGGGTCCTAAGGGTGCAGCTCAGCAAAACACCTTGTGGAAAACAAGATCTCATCCATTGTTCTTTGTGCAAGGTGGTATAAAGTATTGCTTCCTACACATGTAGTATTTACCAGCAATCAGCACGTAGCACCGTTCCTGCAAGGTGCCTTCAGGTTTAGCCCATTGGACAACGTAACCATTGGATGTTTGCTGCTACATCAACATGTATTCTCTTTTATTCATGTCAGGAGCTGGCTGCAGTGCGACTGTGATGGCAGGGAGCTC